ATCTGGGGCACCGCACGCCCCATAATCACGTCACACAGCCGCTGGGAGCGCTGCAGGCCCGGGGGGGGGCGGTCCCTCCTTCCTTCCCTCCACCCCGGAGCGGCGCAGCCATGCGGGTGGGCAGCTGGGTGCGGGGAGTTACGCACCGCGTGACGCTGTGCGGGGGCACGGAGCGGCGGTGCCGGCGGCTGCTGGCGGAAGGGGCGGCGGGGGGGAGGCGCGGAGGCCGGGGCGGCCGTGCTGGTGCCGCTGTGCTCCGTGCGGGGCCGCCCCGCGCTGCTCTATACGCTGCGCTGCAGCCGTCTGCGCGGGCCCTACGGCGGCGATGTGAGGTAGTGAGGGGGGACTTGGAGGGGCGGGGTCGTGGAGTGGGGGTCCCCCCTACCGGCCCTGCCGCAGCGCCGCCCCCCCCTCCCCCACCCGTTGCAGCTTCCCCGGGGGGAAACGGGAGGCGGCGGACGGCGGAGCGGAGGGCACCGCGCTGCGAGAGGCGCGGGAGGAGCTGGGGCTGAACCTGCGGGAGGAGAGAGTCTGGGGCCGGCTGCGAGAGCTGCCCGACAGGGTACGGAGCGGGGACACAAAGGGGGACAGAATGGGGATCAAAGGGCACGGGGACAGAGGGACGGCACCGGGACCTTGGGGATAGCGCAGAGACATGGGGACAGAACGGGGACATGGCACAAAACAGGGACGTGGAGACAGCACAGGGACATGGGGGCGTGGACAGAACGAAGGGTGGGGACAGTGCACAGGGGCAGAATGGGGACAGGGTCAGTGCAGGGACACCGAGGACAGAATGGGGATGTGGGGATAAACTGGGGACGTGGGAACTGCAATGGAGCATGGGGACGTCGGGTACAGAATGGTGGCATAATATACAGAAGGGCATTGTGGACTGAATGGCGATGTGGGGACAGAATGGTGATGAGGACAACGCTGGGACATGAGGACAGTGTGGGGAATATTCGGAAAAATACAGAGATGGCAAAGGAACGTGGGGACGGAACGGGCACATGGGACGTGTCTGTGCTAGAGAGCGTTTTGATGTTGAGCTCGGGGCTGGCAATGGTAAGTTGAGAAGAGCAACAGTCCCCATGTCTATCACTGTCAACAGGGTGACATCAGGAACAGCACGGGGACACAGGTGGTGTGGTGGGGTTACAAGCACTTCTGGGGATGTGATAGGGCCGTGGGGATCGGGAGACACAGGACTGGGAGATGGGGTGGGGTAATTGGGAAGAAAGTGTAATTGGGGGCACTGGGGACACCGTGTGGCTGGGAAATGGAACAGAAGTGACTGGGGCCAAGGTGAAAGGGACGCTGGAGACACAGTGGAGACGTGGTGAGATCGGTAAAATTGGTGGGAATACAGGGATGGAGTGTCTGGGGACAGGAGCACTGGGGCTAAGGGAGGGTGGGGCTGGGGAACAGGGTGACAGGATGGGGTCAGCAGGGCAGTGGAGACACATGGATGGGCGTGGGGTGGCTGGGGATAGGGCAGCAGGGACGTGGTAGGCAGAGGCTAATGGTTTGGGATAGGACATGTGGGGATGGGGAAGCGAGGTGGCTGCAGCACAGTGGCATTTGTCACCCTGTCTTTCTGCCACATGCTCCCTGCCAGCACGGGATGCTTGTGGTCCCTGTGGTGGCCAACCTGGGACCCCTGGAGGACCTGACACTGTCCCCAAACCCTGACGAGGTGGGTGACCCCCAACCCTTTGTGCCCTTCCCTGCTGTGACCCACGTGCGTCCCCCAACTCTCTTCCGGCTTCTGCAAGGTGGCAGAGGTCTTCACACTGCCTCTGGAGCACCTCCTGCAGGAAGAGAACCAGGGCTACACCCATTTCCGCACTGCGGGTCGCTACGGCTACACCCTCCCTGTCTTCCTCAATGGCCCCCACCGCATCTGGGGGCTGACAGCCATCATCACTGAGCTGACGCTGGAGCTGCTGGCACCCAACTTGTACTGCAGAAAGACCCACGTGCCTGGCCATGGCATCACTGCTCCCCAAAAAAGGGCTTGAGCTGCATATTGAAGGAGCCAAGGCTCTGAGGGTGAGGGGTTTGGGGCTGGAAGGTTTTGGGGTGGAGGGTGGCATGGTTTCACCACTGTCCCCTTCTCTGTGCCATTGCACCCATGGTCGATGTTTCACGTTGTGATTTTAGTAAAAAGCCATGTTTCAAGCCGCTTCAGTTACAGCAGTGTTTATTAAGGAGCTCCAAGAGTGGGCTAGAACCCACTGGGAGCAGCAAAGTGTGGTGCCACTGCTGCCACCACCCCGACCTCCTCATGCTGAGGCCGCTCGTGCTTTGGCCTCTCCAAAGCGCCGCATCCTGTCCTCCAGTTCCGGCCGAAAGTGGCGGATGAGGCCCTGGGTTGAGCAAACAAAGCAGAGTCAGTGAGGCTGAGAGCTAAGCCCCTGAGGTCCCGCTGCCATCCCAAAGCCCTGCACCCACCTGCACGGGCCACGCGGCACCATCACCCAGCGCACAGATAGTGTGCCCCTCAATCTGCTTGCTGATCTCCCACAGTGCATCAATCTCAGCTGTCTGTGCGTCTCCCTGCACGAAGCGTGCCATCACCTTGTTCATCCAGTCAACACCTGTGGGGACAGGGACACGGTGACAGGCCCTGTGATGCAATGACAGACCCTGTGGCACAGCCCCACGCTTACCTTCCCGGCACGGGGTGCATTGCCCACAGCTTTCGTGCTTGTAGAACTCGATGAGACGAGCGATCGCTTTGACAATGTCAGTCTGAGGAGGAAGGGGACAATCAGGGGACACTCATTCAAGGGAGGGGGCAGCCTGGGGAGGGCTCACTCTGTACCGATTTATCCATGACAATGACGGCAGCCGTGCCAAGCCCACTCTGCGCCTGCACCAGGGAATCAAAGTCCATCAACACAGTCTCACACACCGACTTTGGGAGCAATGGGGTGGAGGAGCCCCCCCGGGATGACAGCCAGCAGGTTGTCCCAGCCACCACGGACACCCCCTGCCAAAAAAGAGGGGACACACTGAGCCAGGCCCGGCAGGACCATCCCGTTGGGTTTGAGCGTGGTGCTTACCAGCATGCTTCTCAATGAGTTCCTTCATTGGCACTGACATCTCCTCCTCCACTGTGCAGGGGTGGTTGACGTGGCCGGAGATGTTGAAAAGCTTTGTCCCGGAGTTGCGCTCACGCCCAAAGCCAGCAAACCAGGCACCGCCACGCCGGCAGATGGTGGGGGCCACAGCCACCGTCTCCACATTGGCCACCGTGGTGGGACAGCCAAAGACTCCTGTAGGGAATCAGAGCTGTGAGTGGTACCGGAGGGAATTAGTGGAGTGGAGATGGGCAGAAGGGCTCCAGCACGTACCCACGTCAGCAGGAAAGGGAGGCTTGAGGCGCGGCTTGCCCTGCTTGCCCTCAATGGACTCGATGAGCGCTGTCTCCTCGCCACAGATGTACGCCCCAGCACCCCTCACCACGAAGACATCAAAGGCATAGTCAGAACCACAGGCATTCTTCCCCAGAAGCCCAGCCTCGTATGCTTCCCTGATGGCCACCTGCGGAGGGGACAACAGGTAGATAGCAGCAGGGGATGTCCCCATGTGTGTTCCACCGCATCCGTGGCACCCACCTGCAGATTGGAGGCCTCATTGTAGAACTCGCCGCGGATGTAGATGTAGGCGGCACGAGCACCCATGGCACGGCCGGCCACCAGGCAGCCCTCCACCAGCTTGTGTGGGTCGTGCCGCATGATCTCACGGTCCTTGCAGGTGCCTGGTTCCCCCTCATCTGCATTCACTACCAGGTACTTGGGTCTGACAGGATGCGGTGTCAGTGTCAGCACCCCGTCCCATCTCCCAGCTCCATATCTCCATGTTCCCGGTTTTCCCTCTGTTCCATCTCCCCACTCCCCCATCCCTGCCCCCGCCACGTTCCTGGTGTCCCTAAGTAATCCCATCCCCTCTCAGCCCCCTCCAACTTCTCTCTCTTCTTAGCACCCCTATTACTTAGCCACTAATTTGCCTGTACCCCCACCCTATCTATGCCTGTACACCCTGCACCCCAATGTCGCTTTGTTCCCAATCACCCCAGCCCCATCTCCTAGTCATATGATGTCCCCTGTAATTCCTACTCTTGTGTCCCCAGATCTCCCTGTCCCCACTCTCTGCTGTTCCATCTCCCAACCTTGTGTCCCCAGTGTCTCTTTGTCCCTAGACACGCCTTTCCCATCTCCCAAGCTGTGTCCCCTGCTCCCCATGTCCCTGTTCCCAAGCAGTCCTGTCAGCCCTCAGCCCCTTCCCTCCCTGACCCTCCAAGCGTCCCTGTCACTGCATCACCCCAGCCTCTCAGCCCCATCCTCTCTGCATCCTCCACATCCTTGCCCTGCCCACCCCTTCTCCTCAGCACCTACCTGCCATCAGGCGGCTTGTTCATGAAGCTCCACTTGAGGCCGGTGGGGAAGCCGGCCCCCCCGCGGCCCCTCAGCCCCGAGGCTTTGATCTCACCCAGGATCCAGTCGACGCCCTTCAGCAGGATCTCCTTCGTCTTGTACCAGTCGCCCCGCCGCAGCGCTCCCTGCAGCCTGCGGGCACGGAACGGCGGCTGTGAGCACCCGCAACCCCCGCAGCCCATGTTTCTCTCCCACGCTCCCGGTCCCCGCTGCCCACCTCCACTCGTGCCGCCCGTAGAGGTTGGTGAAGATACGGTCCTCATCCTTCAGAGAGCCGAACTGCGTCTTTTTCGGCGCTGTCTGCGGGGAAGGGAGGAGCTCAGCGCGGCCCCGGGCTCGGAACCAGGCTGAGCGGTCGGTCCAGCGCTTACCGAGAAGCCGGCGGCGGCGGCGGGGAGACGACGCAGGGCCCTCAGCTGCCAGGCGGCCATGGCGCTCCGCCGCCACCTTCAGGCGCCCCCGGCTGCGTCGCTCGGATGTGGCGTCATCGGAGAGCGCCGCGGCGCGCTGTGATGACGTCACCGAAGCCGGCCGTGGGTCAGGGGTCGCGGAGGCGGTGGTGGGGTTTGCACCGCGCTGTGGGGTCTGTGGATGCTGCGGCTTTCCCGCGGCCAACCCCGCGCTCCGAGGCCACGGCTCCGTGCTCGGGGACCCCTGCAGCCCTCTCCCCGGCTGTGGGACCCCGGTTCTCCCGTCCCCGGGCCCCGCAGCGCTCCCACTGCGGGCCCCCGCGGTCTCGTTGTCCGGTGTCAATGTCTCGGCTCGTGTATCCCGGCCGCCGGATCCGGTTTCCCCGCTGCAATCTCACCCCGGCACTGGGGGATCGGATTCGGAGCCTGGAGGGAGGGTAATGAGCCCTGAGCACCGGGCAGGAGCCGTCATGTTCCTGTTCATCCGCAGCACCCAGCGCCGCGTCCCCGGCAGCCCACTGCCCTCCCCCTGCCGAGCCCCCCCGGGGGTGAAACGGGGCCGCCGCAACCCCCGAGGGCACCGGAGTGCTGGGGGGGGGGCGGCGGAGCACCGAGGAGCCCCAGCTGCCCCCCACTTCCAGGCAGGTAATGGGGCTGGGCAGCTAATTGGGGGGAATGGGGAGGACTTGAGGGGGTGACGGGTGGGGCAGTAACACCGTCCCCCCTCAAGGGGAACAGCTGGGCGGCTCCCCCACATCTGGAGCGGCGTGGCCGAGCAGGGCATAATCCGGGGGATTATGTGTGTGTGTGCGGGCAGCGTGCAGCCCCCCCCGCCTCGCCCTGCATATCCCGAGATATTCCATAAAAACCGTAAATCCCCACGCAGCCTCTGTTACTATAAAAAAACCCCGTCCTGGCGCGGCCGGGCCAGAGCGGCGGCCCCCCAGGACTGCGCCAGGCGGCCCCCCGGGGGGACCGGTTATGCCTGGGCACCCCTGGCCATGGGCAACTGCACCAAGACCCCTGAGAGAAGGCTCTCCAAGGTAAGGCTGAAGTGCAGGGGGGTGCTCGGGGGCTGTGCTGGGCTTATTACTGCCCTCCGGCTCTGCCTACAGGACGGGAAGCAGCGCTCCGGCCCCCCCGGTCCCCAGGATGGTGAGGAGCTGGCAGAGGCTGCGCAATCACCACCGCTGCAGAGCTACTCAGTGCTGCATGGGCTTGTGGGGCCGGCGTGCATCTTCCTCCGACAGAGCATTGCCATCACACAGCTGGTATGTGAGCATTATACCCCCCTGGGGTGCATCCCAGTCCTCTGGGGTCACTGCTCCCACAGCTGCCCACTGGTGTGGATTTGGGGTGGCTGTGTGGAGGGAGCCGTCCTCCAGCCTGCATTCTTTTTGCCAGGACCGGGAGCTGCGGCCGGAGGAGATCGAAGGTGAAGTGTAGGGATGTGTCCCTAGGCTGGGTCCTTGTGGGGCTAGGGATGCTGCTCTGGTGTAGGGTCTCACCCATACCCATTCCCCTTGGTCCCCATCCCAGTTCCCATCTTGCCACCCATCCTGTTTGATCCCTGTCTCTCCACATGTTCCTCTCAGTTTCTGTCCTGGTCTCCATCTTAGCACCTGTTCCACTCACTTCCCATCCCTGTTTCTGTCTTTCTACCTGTTAATCTTAGTCCCCATCACAGCACTTGCTAGTGTCAGTCCCCATCCTGGCCTCTATCTCACCATCCTTTCACCTTCATTCCAATCCCAGTCCCCATCTCTCCATACATTCCCCTCAGTCCTCATCTCACCACCCATTCCTCTTGGTCCTCATCCCAATCCCTATCTCAGCACCTATTCTCCTGGGTCCCCATCCCAGTCCCCATTGTGCCATCTATCCTGCTTGGTCCCTGTCTTGATACCTATTCCCCTTAATTCCTATTCCAGTCCACATCTTGCCACATGTTTCCCTTTGTTCCCATCTCACCACCTGTTCCTCTCAGTCCCCATCCCAGTCCCCATCTTGGCACCTCTTCTACTGCGTCCCCACCCTGGTCCCCATTGTGCCTTTTATTCTGCTGTATCCCCATCTTGCAACTTGTCCCACTCAATCTTCATCTCACCACCCATTCCCCTTGCTCCCCATCCTGGTCCCCATCTCAGCACCTCTTCTACTGGATCCCCATCTCAATCCCCATTGTGCCACCTATCGCACTCAGTACCCATCTTGACACCCGTTTCCTTGGGTCCCCATCCCAATCTCCATCTCAGCACCCATTCCCCTTAGTCTTCATTCTGGTCCCCATCTCTCTGCCCACTCCCATCAATCCCCATCCCAGCCTTCCCCCTCTCAGCACCCATTCCATTCAGTCCCCATCCTAGTTCCCATTGTGCCACCCATCCCACTGAGTCCTCATCTTGACACTCATTTCCTTGAGTCCCCATCCCAGTCTCCATCTCACACCTGTTCCACTGGCTCCCTATTCCATCTCCCATGTTCTCAGTGTGCCACCGTTCCTGCTTGGTCCCCATCTTCGCACCCGTTCTCTGCAGTTCCCATTCTGGTCCCTGTCTCAGCACCTGTCCCTCAGTCCCTGTCTGAGTGCCTGTTCCCTTCATCCCCACCTCGCCTCTTGTCCTGCCCCCACCTGTGGGGTGCCCCCAGGGCTGTCCCTGGGTGTCACCGTTCTCCCTGCTCTGTCCCCAGAGCTGAAGCAAGCCTTCAAGGAGTTTGACAAGGACCGTGATGGCTACATCAGCTACAAGGACCTGGGCGAGTGCATGCGCACCATGGGCTACATGCCCACCGAGATGGAGCTCATTGAGCTGTCCCAGCAGATCAGTAGGTGCCGGGGCAGGGGGAGGAATCCCACATCCGCATGGTGGCACCACCCCCACTGACCTTCCTCCCCCCTTGTTCCCCTAGCAGGCGGCAAAGTGGATTTTGATGACTTTGTGGAGCTGATGGGCCCTAAGATGCTGGCGGAGACGGCGGACATGATCGGGATCAAGGAGCTGCGCGATGCCTTCCGCGAGGTGAGGGGGTGTGGACAGCAGGGCTGGGGGGACACAGTGCTGGGAGCACAGTGGTGATGCTGGGTCCCCCCGGGGCAGTTCGACACCAATGGGGACGGGCAGATTAGCATGGCGGAGCTGCGGGAGGCCATGCGGAAGCTGCTGGGGCAGCAGCTCAACTACCGTGAAGTGGATGAGATCCTCAAGGATGTGGATCTCAACGGGGACGGCCTGGTGGACTTTGAAGGTAATGGGGGTGAGGGTGAAGGGGGGGGAGACCCCTCCCGATCCCGGCTTTATTTGGGGGATGATGGCATCAACGATGGGGGAGGGGGGGGGTGAGCCCCCATTGCCAGCTTTATTTGGGGGTTAATGCTGTGGTTCTTTGCAGAGTTTGTGCGGATGATGTCGCGCTGAAGGGCCGGGAGCCGCCGCCGTGCCTTACCGGGAGGAGGAGGGGAGAAGGTCTCCCCGGGCCTGCGCTCCGGGGGGGGGGGAGCCCTGATCGTGGCCCCCTGGGGTCGTGGGTTCGCAGCTTTGCCGGTTCCTAATGAAGCTCTGTGCCGTCGGGTGCCGTGTGCCCGTCCATTGAGTGCCGGGGGAAGCCTCAGGCCCTCGCGGCGGGGGGGCCGGGGGAGGCAAATGGGGGAGCAGGACGCCGCGCGTCTCCATGGTGACGAGAGCACGGCGCGCCGTGTTTGCGTATTGGCGGCGTGCGGGTCGTGACGTCATCGGCGCGCCCCGCCGAGAGCGCAGACCGGCTCCTTTCGGGCCGCCGACCAATCAGCGCCGCCGGACCGCGCCGCCCGGCCAATCAGTAGTTAGGAGGCGGGAGGGGGGCGCCCCGCTCGGCCGCTCGCTTCCGTCTTCCCCACACGGCGGCCGACGCTCGGGACGGATTGCCGCTCGGAGCGGTGCGGGGATGTCCTACAAACCCATCGCGCCCGCCCCCAGCGCCAGCCCCGCCCCGGGGCCCGCCGCCACGGCCGCCGGTGAGAGGAGCCCCCGGGGGGCGGCGAACCGGGGGTAGAGCGGGGGTGGGGAAAGAAGGGGACTTAAGGAGAGGCACGAGGCCCGAGGGGGGCGGCGGGACCTGAGCAGGGCGTGGAGGAGAGGGACGGGGACTGAGGAGGGGACGCGGGGAGTCAGGGGCTGAGGGAGGGAAAGGACGGCGCCTGTGGGCGGCCTGAGCGGGGCGCAGGGCCTGAGGAGAGCCGGGCTTGAGGGGGTGACAGGGCCTGAGGAGGAGTACGGGGCCTGAAGGAGGGCCGGACCCGGTGTCGCTCCCCGCAGCTCCCAGCGTCCCCTCGCCGTCCGCCTTCCGCCCACTCTTCAACGACTTCGGGCCGCCCTCCATGGGTTATGTGCAGGTGAGGCCGCGGGGCAGGGGCAGACGAGGGGAGGGCGGTGTGGGGCAAGGCTGAGCCCCCCCCTTTCTCCTCTGTCTTCCCTCCCCCCGTGCCTCCCCTGTCAGGCAATGAAGCCGCCCGGCGCGCCGGGCTCGCAGAGCACCTACAGCGACCTTCTGTCTGTCATCGAGGAGATGGGCAGGGAGATCCGGCCCACCTACGCCGGTAGCAAGAGCGCCATGGAGCGACTCAAGCGGGGTACAGAGCCGGGGGGTGGCCCTCTGTGTACCTCCCCTCCCCCCCAGCCCGGACCTCGGTGCCTTACTTCATGTCGTCCCCCCCCTTCAGGGATCATCCACGCGCGGGCGCTGGTGCGGGAGTGCTTGGCCGAGACAGAGCGCAATGCCCGCACGTGACAGCCGCCCCCCGCCCCCCCCGAGCCCCGCCGGTGGCTCCCCCCGAGCGGGGCCACCCCCGGGGCTCCCTTCCCTCTCCTAGCCTTCCAGCTTTTATAAATAAAAGACGTGTTGCATCCCTCCCTTAAAGAAAATGCGCCTTCCAAAAAAAAGGAATAACGCAAATTTCCCCGAATATACCGCTCCGTTTTAATTTCCCGGTCCGCCGCCCCCCCGCCTCTGACGTCCCCTCTGATGTCACACCCCCCCCCTCGCTGTACCACCTCCTGACGTCAGCGGGCGCCCCCCACGCCGTGACGTCACAAGGCTCGGGGCCGGCTCAGAGCGGCGCAGGTTCGGAAGGGGCTGAGCGCAGCCGAAGGGAACCGAAAGGAGCCGAAGGGTTACGGAAAGAACCGAAGGGAGCCGAGCGCGCGGCCGAGCGGGCGGGGGGCGCGTTGCTATGGCAGCGGGGAGGGCCCGGCCGAAGCGGGCCGGGCCGGGGCCGGGTTAACGGCGGCGGGTCGCGGAGCCCCCTCGCCCCTTCCCCCAAACCCGGCGCCATGCTGATCAAGGAGTACCACATCCTGCTGCCCATGAGCCTGGAGGAGTACCAGGTAGCGCAGCTCTACATGATCCAGGTGCGGCTGGAGCCTGAGCCGCGGCCCGAGGCGGTCGCGTAAGGCCTGGGGAGGGGGTCGGGTGGTGTTTGTGTGGGGCCGGGGACCGTGTGGAGCCTGGGGGGAGGGGGGTGCAGGAGCGTGCGGCTGAGAGTGGAGGTCAGGGGGTTCGAGGCTGAGGGATATGGGGGACGCTGCGGAGCTTGGGGGTTGGTGATGATCTGGGGGACTCTTTGGGGTCTGGAGTTGTCCTATGGGGTCTGGGGGAGTGTGGGAGGATGGGGCTGAAAGTGAGTGTCAGAGCTGAGCTGGGGGCTGAGGGTTGTGGGGGTCCCGGGGGGGGGAGGGGGTTTATGGACTCCTGGGAACTACGGGAGCATGGGGCTGAGAGGGGGTCATAGAATTCAGAGCTGAAGGGACTGTTTGTGGATAATATGGAGCTTGGGGTTTGTATGAGATCCTGGGAGCTGTGTGGAATCTGGGGGAGTAGGGGAGTCTAGGTCTCGGGGTGGTTGGGGCTGAGGGGTATGGGGGAGTGCAGGGGTGTGGGGCTGAGGGTGGGGGTCAGATGTTGTGGGGTTTGAGGTCTGAGGTGGTGGGGGTTAAGAGTATAGAGATATGAGGGCAGTGTGGAGCCTGTGGGGTGCAGGAATGTGGGGCTGTGTATTAGGCTGTGAAGAGAGTGTGGGGCTGGGGGCCTGGAGTATGGAGTTGTGAAAATGCAGTGTGGAGGCATGGGGCTGAGCCTGTTTCTCAGAGTGCTGACTGAAGTGGGGCTCTTGGGAAAAGCTGTGGGGCTGAGGTGGGGGTGCAGGGATTTGGGGCTGAGGAAAGGGTGCAGGGGGGGGTGGGGTGGGGGGGACCTGGAGCCGGCAAGACAACAGGATCTGGGGTGCCAGGGCTCAGTCCATCCTCACCCTGCAGAAGAAAAGCCGGGAGGAATCAAGCGGTGAGGGCAGCGGGGTGGAGATCCTGGCCAACCGCCCCTACAGCGATGGCCCCGGTGGCAGCGGGCAGTATACCCACAAGATCTACCATGTGGGCTCCCACATCCCCAGCTGGTTTCGGGCCCTGCTGCCCAAAGCTGCGCTGCAGGTGGAGGAGGAGTCCTGGAATGCGTACCCCTACACCCGCACCAGGTGGGATTCCATGGGAATGTAGGCTGGGGGCTGCCCACTGGGCTCAGCCTAACCCCCGTGCTTCCTATAGGTACACCTGTCCCTTTGTGGAGAAGTTCTCTATCGAAATTGAGACGTACTACCGGCCAGATGCTGGCCAGCAGACCAATATCTTCAACCTGAGCGCTGCTGAGAAGAGGCAGAGGATCTTGGGTGTGTGCAGCAGGGGCATGAGGCAGGATCTGGGGCTTTCTCTGCTGACCTTGTGCTGTAGGGACAGGTTAAGTTATCCTTATAGGGGAAACTGCCCATACCCTGAGCTCCCTGCTCAGTCCTGTGGATCAGCTGGAGACAGGGAGCTAGGGAATCATGTCCCCATTTTGTCTTCTGCTTCTCCTGCCCCCCCAGGGCTTTGCAGAGTGTTGTTCCCCGTTCCCAGCCGTCCTGGAGCAGACTGTTCCCCACAGGGACGTGTTTGTCCCCCGTTGCTGCCTGTTCCCATTCCTGGCAGTGTCGACACGGTTGTTTTGGGCGCTGGAGCGCAACGCGTCATGCTCTACTCCTAAAATGGAGGCCTAAAATAGGCACTCGGAGGAAATGATTCATCTGACCTATTTCTCTCATTGGCTCTCGCAGCACTGGGGATGTCCGGCTGGGACGCTGGTGGCACAGCCAAGGCAGGGGACAAATTTTGTCCCTACTGCCATCACCAGCAGCCAGTGAGCAGAGTTCTGAGCTGCCTTGTTTGGCCTTGTCCTCGGCACACCCCCCCGTGCCCCTGGGGTCACCGCTGCCGTTCTCCAGCTGCCAAATCCCCACGCTAATGCGCCTATGTGTGTCAGCCCGGCTCTTAGCCTGGCCACCCCCACTCCTGCCTCCACCTCTTGCTGCTGCTTCTTGAGGCAGCGGGTCTGGCCCCAGCGTGAGGACCAGTCCCCAGAGGCTCAAGGGGACAGAGAGATGTCCCATCTTTGGGCACACGGTGTGTGGAAATGATTCGCAGGGCGCTGCCAGTCTTATCCCTCACCCTTTTTTCCTTCTACCCCAGACACCATCGACATTGTGCGTGACCCCATATCCCCTGGAGAGTATAAACCCGAGGAGGACCCCAAACTCTACCGCTCAGCCAAGACTGGCCGGGGCCCACTGGGGGATAACTGGCTGGAGGCAGCCAGCAGCGGGCCGCTGATGTGTGCCTACAAGCTGTGCAAGGTGGAGTTCCGCTACTGGGGGATGCAGTCCAAGATTGAGCAGTTCATCCATGATGTTGGTGAGCGTGGGGCGATGGCGGTGAGCCCGAGCCCTGGGATGGTGGGTTTTTGGGGGCCATACCTTACTCACTCCCCCTGCTTCAGGCTTGCGTAAAGTGATGCTGCGTGCCCACCGCCAGGCCTGGTGCTGGCAGGATGAGTGGACTGACCTGACCATGGAGGACATCCGGCAGCTGGAGGAGGAGACGGCGCGGATGCTGGCACAGAAAATGGCCAAGTGTGGTGAGGCTGAGGAGCCCTCCACTGCGGGGCCCAGCCCTGAGGGGCGGCCAGAGCCAGGAGGTGCCAGCGGGCAAGAGGGCACTGAGGCTCAAGGGACTGCCGACATCTCCCCTGATGACAGCTTTGCCAAGCAGTGGTCCACATCTTCGCGTTCTTCCTACTCTTCTCAGCACGGAGGTGAGAATGGGAGGAGTTAGGTACCCCTGGGTCCTGTGGCTGCTGCTGTTCTCTGGCAGAGGTGCATCAGGACCCTTCTTTCCTACCCCAGAGCGTGGCTTTGGATGTCCCAAAGCTCTGGGTGGCTCTGGGTGCATGAGCAGCACTGTTGGGCACGAGCAGGGGCTCGCTGCCTTCGGTGCTGACCCTGTGCTTCTGGCAGGTGGTGTGTCTCCTCAGAGCCTGTCTGAGTGGCGTATGCAGAACATTGCTCGTGACTCCGAGAACAGCTCTGAGGAAGAGTTCTTTGATGCCCACGGTATGGCAGAACAGCCCCACAGCACAGCAGTGTGCTAGATTTGCCCTGTTGGGTTTCAGTGGGGCACAGGGGTATGGACTGTGCTTGGCTCACCCATGGCCCCCCTCCCTGCCATCACAGAGGATCTGTCGGACAGCGATGAGGTCTTTGCCAAGGAGATGACCAAGTGGAGCTCCAATGACTTCTTGGACACTCTGGAGCGGCCAGCAGAGCTGGATGAGAATCTGGGTGAGCAGGATGTGTTCAGCCTACTCAAGCCCAGGGTGGGCATCCCAAGGTGGGGCTGACCCCTGCATGGACACCCTGGCTTGCTCACCGTTGATGTGTGCTTGCAGGGGAGGAACACAGCACCTCCAGGGCAGATGGCAAAGAACAGCCAGCAGCCAGCTTCTCTGAGGTGTGTGAGCTGCTCACCCCATCCCATGTAGCCCCTGGCTGTGTCCCTGGCATGGGTGCAGACAGGAGTGCTCTCCTCCTGCAGGGCGGCTCGGCCGAGAGCACGATGCAGGCGTGCCGGATCCACGTGCTCTTCCTCATACTCCACAGTGGCAACATCCTGGACCAGGGAGGGGGAGAGCTGGGCTCCAAGCAGGCGGACGTGCAGACGTTGGCTGCCACCTTCGATGCTGTCACCCGTGTCCACTTCCCTGAGGCACTGGGACATGTGGCATTGCGCCTGGTGCCCTGCCCGCCCATCTGTGCCGCTGCCTATGCATTGGTCTCCAAGTGAGGAGCGAGAGAGAGGGCTGTCCCCACTCAAGCCACCCCAGGAGGGAGGTGGTGGGCTCAGAGAGGGGTTTCACAGAGAAGTGAGCATCGCGGGATGGGTTAGGGACATGGGGTAGCCCTGCTGACCCGTCCTCATGTCTCCCCCAGGCTCAGCCCTTACAGCCATGACCGGGACAGCCTGTCCAGCAGTCAAGACCACATCCCACTGGCGGCCCTCCCGCTGCTGGCCACCTCCTCAGGGAGCTACCAGCATGCTGTGGGCAACGTCATCACCCGTGCCAACCAGGCCTATGCCGCCTTCCTGCACTCTGCTGAGGGCACCGGCTTCTGTGGCCAGGTGAGAGGGGCGGGGGGGCTTAAGGAAGGCTTTGCCCTGGATTCTGGCTGGGGCTTGGCTCCCACTGGGATGATTTTTCTGCTGTCTGCAGGTAGTGCTGCTCGGGGACTGTGTGGGAGGCATCCTGGGCTTTGACGTGCTGTGCCAAAGCCGGACAGGTGCTGGGGGCAGCCGGAGCAGCAGCCGCCGTGGCAGCCTGGTCGGTGCCTCTTTTTTAAAGCTACTGACCATCTTGGCAGCATCTGGCTGCTTGCTGATTCTTCTTGTCCACCCACAGAGCACAGAGCCCATTTCCCCCGAACTGTGTGGCACCCGGGATCCGCTGGCTGACGGAGCGGACACAGCAATGGGGTTGGGCCAGGCCAGCCCCGAGCCAGGGGACGGCCAACATCCAGGTTCCTCGTGCAGGTGAGAGCAAGGTGCTTGGGGGAGTGCCAGCACCCTCCATACAAACTTTGTGCTTTATGTGAACGATGAATTCCCCATCTGTGCCTGGAGGAAGCATTGCACAGATGCAGCAGTGCCGTGCCGGGGCTCCCCTGCTCCCAGCAGCTCCTCTGGGCTATACGGGCTGTGGCGGGCGCCCTGCAGCACTGTCATTCCTGTGCCCGCTGGCTCTGCTCTTGCAGCCCACAGCCTGGCGATGCCCCACTGGAGGCAGAGGCACCACGGAACAGTGCTGCAGCACAGGATGGGGCAGAGAGCACCAGCACCCGCCTTGACTTTAAGGTATCCGGCTTCTTCCTCTTCGGCTCCCCGCTGGGGCTGGTGCTCGCGCTGCGCAAGACCGTCATGCCTGCTCTGGATGGTGAGGAGCCCCACCGGCTGTGGTGCGAGCCCCCACACCTCCCTGTGGGGCTCAAGCCCTTGTCCTCCCCAAACAGCTCTGCTTGAGATTTTCATGCTGTGGCTGTACACATCTCAGTGTTGGCGCATGCCTTGAGCGTCCCCTCTGTGCCACTGGTCTCCTGGCTTTCTCTCCTCATCCTCTCCTCCCACTGGGTCCTGCTTTCGACTCCCTGTGTCCTCAGCCTTCCTGACTGCGCGTCGCCCTGCCCTGACCCCTTTCTTTGCCCCAGTGGCCCAGCTGCGTCCTGCCTGTGAGCAGATCTACAACCTCTTCCACGCTGCTGACCCCTGCGCCTCCCGCCTGGAGCCCCTCCTGGCCAAAGCCTTCCATGCCGTGCCACCGCTCAATGTGCCCCGCTACCAGAAGTACCCCCTGGGCGACGGCACTTCCTCCCTGCTGGGTGAGTGGTCTTGGGGGCTGGCATCCCCACAGTGGGGGGCTATGGATGGCCTGACTCGGTGCTGTCTGCAGCGGAGGCTCTGCAGATGCACTCTGCCCTCTTCCTGCCCGAGGTGGACCTGGCTGCTCCCCCCACTCCCACCGGCAGCTTTGGGGGGGGCTTCTGGAGGGGAAGCGAGCCAGGAGACCCCCCTACACCTGCCAGCACCAGCGAAGTCGTCAAGAGTGAGTGCCATCACCAGCATCCATAGGCACTAGAGGGGCTGGAGTGGCTCAAGCCCCTGAAATGGGGCCAGGCTGGGGGGGTAAGGCTCAGGGATGGACTAACTGGAGCTCTCTGCACAGTCCTGGAGCGCTGGTGGGGTCTGAAGCGCATCGACTACTCGCTGTACTGCCCTGATGCGCTGACTGCCTTCCCCACCATCACCCTGCCTCACCTCTTCCACGCCAGCTACTGGGAGTCCTCCGATGTGGTGGCCTTCATCCTGCGCCAGGTAGGGCACGCATGGCAGGGTGGGCAGCGCACTCAGCCAGTGAGGGCTGAGCTGTGCGTTGTCCCCTGGCCAGGTGATGGAGAAGGAGGGCCCGCAGCCGGCCGAGAGTGAGGAGAGCTCCATCTACAGCCCCGCGTTCCCCCGGGAGAAGTGGCAGCGCAAGCGCACCCAAGTGAAGATCCGGGTATGGGTACCCCTAGGGCTGCATGGGGCTCGAGCTGTCCCCAGGCGCTGTGGGGTGATGCAGCCAGGAGGGTTTGCTCCCATCCTGGTAGACTCCCATGTGCTACTTCTGGGGGCTGTTCTGGTTGCTGAGATGTGTGTGTCCTTGCAGAACGTGACAGCCAACCACCGGGCCAGCGACGTCATCGTGTGTGAGGGCAAAGCGCAGGTCCTCAGCGGGCGCTTCATGTATGGCCCCCTGGATGTGGTGACATTGACGGGAGAGAAGGTACTGTGGGGACGTTCCCGGGGCCCTGGTGAACGGCAGGGACACTGAGGAGGGGACAGTCCTCATGTTAACTGTGCCTAAATGGAAGGGCTTAGGGACCAGGACTCCATAGGACCTTGTGGGATGGTGGGAGAGGATAGTGATGGTTTTCAGACTGGGACTATGGTATTTTTGCCTTTACTCAGGTGGACATCTACATCATGACGCAGCCGCTGTCAGGGAAGTGGCTGTACTACGGCACGGAGGTGACGAGCGGCAGCGGACGCCTAACCTTCACCATCCCTCAGGACAAGGCCCTGGCCATTGGCATCTACCCTGTGCGCATGGTGGTCAGGTGAGATGTTGGCCATGTGCTTCTAGTGGGGTCACCTCAGCCACCTCCCCTCCCGTGGGCTGAGGGAGGTGACAGCGCCAAGTCTGAGCCTCGCTGCTGTTCCATCCCAGGGGTGACCACAGCTACGCGGAGGCGTACCTGACAGTGGTGGCCCGGGGCACTGAGTCAGTGGTGTTCAGCATCGATGGTTCCTTCACTGCCAGCGTCTCCATCATGGGCAGTGACCCCAAAGTGCGGGCGGGAGCTGTTGATGTTGTACGGTAAGTGCTCTTCTTACAAGGACAGCCAGCTTTGTGCGGCGACAACCCCATGGGAGCACCAGATCCATTTCAGGGTGTCCTGCTGTGACGTGACACAGTTTGGTCTGCAGACCAAAGTTTTGGAACCTGCTCAGTTAGCTTGGGAGGTGCACGGTGGCTTCCAACCCACTTTTCACGTGGACTCTGGTGACAGTATGTATCATGTGTGCCCTGGTGTACCAGGCACTGGCAGGACTCGGGTTACATGATCATCTACGTGACGGGGCGCCCTGACATGCAGAAGCATCGCGTGGTGGCCTGGCTCTCCCAGCACAACTTCCCCCACGGTGCTGTCTCCTTCTGCGATGGACTCACCCATGACCCCCTCCGCCAGAAAGCAGCCTTCCTGCAGAGCCTGCGCTCCGAGGTGGGGCTGGGATGCTGACCCCAGGGTGGTGGGGAGGCTCTGTCTCCACCCTCATGCTCCTCTCCTTGTGCAGGCAGAGATAGCCATCGTCGCTGGCTATGGCTCCACCAAGGACGTCTCCGTCTACAGCTCCCTCGGGCTGGCACCAGCACACATCTACATTGTGGGCCGTGCTGTCAAGAAGTTCCACAACCAGTGCCAGGTGGGGCAGCAGGGCTGGGGCTGCTGGAGGGATGCCTTGCCCTCACTGGGGTCTCACACTGTGCCTGCATCTCTCAGTTCCTGTCTGAGGGCTATGTAGCCCACCTGGCCCAGCTGGAGGCTGCTGCCCTAGTGCACTCACCCAAAGGACCCCCTCGGCCTGTGCTGGGCAAAGGCACCTACGGCTGCCCGGCGCCCGTCGACTTCCTCCGCAAGCAGAGCCAGCTCCTGCGCTCACGGGGCTCCAGCCAGGCAGAGCGGGACGGGGGCCCCCTGCCTGCCCGTGGCAAGCCCCGCAGTGTCAGCCTCAAGCTGGAGGGTGAGGAGTGAACCCCTGCCATTTTGCCCACTCCTGGACACTGCCTTTGTTTTCCAACATGGAGCTGGAGCTGAAAGTGAGGAAGGTGCTGCACTCTGAAACTGTGGGGCACAGCCACACTGCTCTGAGCCACCCCGGGGGGTGGACAGATCCCCTCTGGGCTGAGCCCCCCGGGTCCTGCCTGCTGCCCCCCAGCTCTGCCTCTACCCTTCTGCCCCAATACCTGCTGGCAGTGCCCTGCAGGGTCTGCCACCCAGCCAGTTCTGGGGTTTGGGGTGCTGCCCCCAGGCTCCCATTCACCTTTCTCTGCCCCAGGTGTAAGTGGTGGTGGGCAGGCACTGAGCCTCCTCCCTGCACCCTTGTATTTATTTCTGTTCAGTGTTGTGGGGGCAAGGGAAAAGGTGAGATTAAAAAAAAAACAACAAGGTTCTTCTGTTCTGTTTGTTTCATTGTGAAATAAAGCGATGTAAAGCAGAGCTGCTGGGGCTGCCTGTCTGCTCTGTACTCCCACAGCCTCAGGGTGATGCTGGCCCAGGGCCCCACAGGTGTAATGGAGGGTGGTAGCACCCAACTGCTCTTATTTGCCCTTCGGTTTTACTTGGTTATCTCTAACGGCACTTTTTCTACGTGACCAGATGTCTTTCTATGATGAGTTTTACTTGTGTTTATCTCGGTATAGCATGATCATGGCTTTATATACGCAGTGGAAACCAGTAGTTCAGATAAAAAGTTTACAGCTCTGTTGTGGTGCAGTACAGAGGAAACGCAGCTGCAAGCTGGCAGCGGCAGCCTTGCGAAGTGGCAGTGCAGGATGTGGCATGGAAGGGAAGGGATGGGGTACAGCCTTGGCACTGGAGCTCTTGCAGTCAGTCATTAATGGGCTCCCCTAGACCCACGCAGCACAGCTTGGCCCAACAGAAAGGATAAAAACCAAACAGGGAATAAAAAGCAGCGTGGAAGAGCGTTGGCCTGGGCTCATTTCCTCCACTGGGTTCCCCACCGTTGTGCCGTGGGGCGCAGTCTGGGGCTCAGTGAGGAGATCCATGCTTCTGTTGCCAGCCAACGGCCCAGCACTCAACACCGCGCCTTCTGCGCCGCGCCGAAATCCCACGCGCCTTCCGCTGACTTCCAATAAACGTTGTATTAAACATTAATAAACATGGAAAACCATTCCACATGTGGAATATCTAACAGAATTGGCCCGGAGAGCATGGCGGGCTCTACTGGGAGAAGATGCCCTTGAAGCGGATCTTGTCCTCTGCATCCTTCTGGCGCAGGCGCACCTCCAGGCTGCGCAGCTCCTTGCTGACCACAGGGCGCAGTGAGGGGTCCAGTGCCAGCACCTTGGCGAAGTCAGCCTGCGCCTCGGCCACATTCCACACGGCCGCGTGAGCCTTGCCCCGCTTGAAGTAGGCTTTGACGTTGTCTGTGGGGAAGGAAACATCAGCTGGGGAGCACGCGGGCCTCCCTGGTGCACTGCATGCAGCCGGCACGGCTCCTTACCCTCGTACTTGTTGAGGATGGAGGAGCAGTGGTCCAGCACCTCGTAGTACTCCTCACTCTGCAGCTTGCACTGGCAGTAGTTCAATAGCAGTGGGGTGATCTTCTGGTCCAGCTCAATCCAGTCCGGAGAGCCGGGCTGCTCCTGTGGAACAGGAGGGCAGAGTGAGCCCCAGCGCTGACAAAAGGATGGCGAAACCCCGAGGGGTGGGGAGCCCACCTTCATCTGCAGGTTCTTGAGGCAGGCGATGGCGTCGTAGTACTTGGTGGCTGCCTCCTGCACCTTGCCCTGCCGGTACAGCTCATTGCCCTCCTGGTGGATCAGGGGCACGGCCTGCAGCTTCTCCTCATCCGTCATGGCCCAGGGGTCCTGCTGGTAGGAGCCAGGCTCCTCCACCTGCACGCACATGGTCAAAGGCTGCGGTGGGGCACAGCCCATCGGCACCGTGACCCCAGGACCCCGCTCACCTTGAGCACCTCGATGTCGAAGATGAGGGGCTGGGGGTTCTTTTGCAGCTCGTCCAGGTCGGGGTAGCCCAGCGAGTAGTGCTCGTGCAGCTGGGCGATGCTGCAGCAGTGCCGCTGCCCCTCCAGAGGGTCCTTCCCCGCCGCGATGTTGCGCAGGCTCTTGGCCACCAGAGGGTACAGCACCACGTGCTGAGGGCAAGGGGGGCTCAGGGGGCAGGCATGGGGCCAAGAGGAGGCCCACGTGGAGGTCACGGCCCCTCTGCATCAAGCCACGCCCCCGTGATAAAAACCACGCCCACCCGTCGCAAACCACGCCCCCAACAGCGCGAAATCACACCGCTCAGCACCAAGCAACGCCCCCTTCAGCGAACCACGCCCCTTAATGAGCAAACCCCGCGGCAAACCACGCCCACAAACAGCAAAGCCCCGCCCTCTACTGACCAGAACACGCCTCCGTCGACCAAACGGCGCCCCCCGCTAAGCCCCGCCCCCGGCGCCCCGCCCCTTCCGGCCGCACCTTGGACTCGCAGCGGAAGCGGGCGCGCTCGCCGGGCCGCATGGTGCGCAGTATCGCCTCCCACACAGGCAGCTTGAACTTCTTTCCGGCGATCAGCTCCATGGGCTTGCCCCGCGCTCGGCTGTCATCCAGCACCGTCTCCTCGGGTTCGCACCGCAGCGTCCGGTAGTGGAAGGTGGCCTGAGTGTAGGCCGCGCGTCACCATGACGACCG